TATATATATCTCCATAAAGCCTAAAAATGTTGCTACCATAGTTTTTACAGTATGGTTTTTTCAGTACCTTACAGAACCTTAATTATAAGAGGCAAATTTGTTGTCTTTTTTATTTGTTTGTTTTTTGTTTGAAAAATGGAGTAGCCATGCCATTCTTGTCTAGATGCTTTTTTGGAGAAGGAAGGATGGAAATGGTCAAATATTTACACATTAATGTGTTTGAGTTAGCAGTTGCCTTTTAAGTAGCCTTTTTGTGTAATTGACATTACTGTTACGAGTATACGAAGCATGCATGTTTATCCTTTTTAACATTTAAAAGAGAGAAAGATGAAATATTTATACTTTAGAGTAAATGTTGTCATAGATCTGTATGATTTGTATTTTTCTGTGTATCTTACTCTGATACTGACAGTCGTGTCAGATAATGCAAGCTTTTCTAACCGCTCAGTCTGTCATTCACGTCTTTTCTCAAGAGCTTCCCTCCTTCAAGTGAGCCAACTCTTCATACCACTGGAATCCAACCAGACCCTCGCTGACTGACATGATTAACCGAGTCAGAAGTTTTCACATTTTTCATCTTTAAGACACCCACACAGTAGTGGGAATTTTTGGTGTATGTCAGCGAGGTGATGCATATGCAGTATATACGTTGGCATTGTGACCCAACAGGCCATGATGTGCTCTGGATTCAAGGCTGATGGGGTCTTCAGGGGTCAGAGCTATCAGAATGAGATATGTGCATATCCCCTCACTTTTGGGACAGGGGAATGGGGCCTCTTTCACAGGGTGAGAGGCCTCACATGTTGCACCAGCCTGTGAACACATCCGTGAGCCCCCCGCAGACACGATAAGCTCTTTGATAGAATGGGTAAAAAGTAACAACTGAAAGAAAATTGAAACTGGCACGGTTCTGCTGTTGCCGTGTTTCTAGAGAATGTTTGTTTAAAGTTATTGACTGACACTACAGCCGTAAATGAGTGAATAATGTCTAACCGGAGGCTGCGATATTGTCACGTCTGTGATGAAACACCTTGAAGTTTTTGATTTAGTGTCCCAGTGACAACATGATTATTACTTTGTGGGTTTGACATTATACACAATTCAGTGCATCTATGCGGTTTTAAGCACTCATATATGCAGTGACCTTTAAATTTGTTTACACTTAAAAAATTATAAATGTCAAAGCAAGATCAAAAGATCAAGGCAAGTGGCATTTTTCAAAACATTGAACAAAAATATGCCTTTAAATATAATGTAATATAATAATATAATATAATGTAATAATATAATATAATATAATATAATATAATGTAATATAATATAATATACAATTTTAATATAACACATGCGACCCTGGACTACAAAATCAGTCGCTCGGGTATATTTGTAGCAATAGCCAA